CCTTTCTATAACGAAATATAATATAAGAGGCTTATGTCCAGCAGTGGACTGTTAAAGGCTGTTGATATGATATGATGATGTGATATTCTTGCTGTGATAAGTAGAGGTTTGTCTTTGATAATTTGTTTCTCCAATTTACAGGAGTTCGTACGAGGGAGAATTTCATTCCTGAAAAAGAAAATACAATTTTTTTAACTTCGAAATCGAACACAGAACCTTATAGTTACACAGAATACATACCTAAGCTCGAAACTCACTAAAGCAATTCGTTCGCATTTCAAAAGACCACAACGTCCTTTATAAAAGACGCTTCCGATTCATCGTGTGCAATATTAGTTACAGTAAAATCTTATAAAAAAGCACGGGTTATGAGATTCAACAGTTCTTCAAACAGGATTCAGTCCCCGTTTTTTGTTACATTCAGACCGTGGCTACGGTCGCCTAAAGCCTGTTTGACGCGTCAGGCTGCCCCTTAGCGTGACTGTGCAATTGACGTGTTGACTCTGCAATTTTTGAAATGGCAGACAATAAACTTTTGCCCAAAGAGGCTGATGATGATCTGTTTAATTTAGGCCAAATATTTTTATTTACATTTTTAGAAGACATAGAACATATTTTGGACTATTGCTGTAGTTATTATGAGTTTACTAAATGGTATCTTTAGTCTTTACATACCTCGACAGATCTGTTGAGACTCTGTGTCTCTACGGCACGCAGGGTATATAAGAGCCTTTCGGACTATGTAATTGAGGACATGGTGTCGCGAAAATCTACAAAAGCGACGAGAACTCAGTGAGTGATGGCCATCGGCCTCTACCATAGTGCCGCAGGTGCATCTATGTGGTTCACACACCTTGCAGCCCAGACGAAGAGTCACTGCCCCACGCAAGAGTCATCGTCTAGTAAGGTGCCCAGGTGAGGTGACGGGAATGCATATAACCATGTCTCTGATTCTGACTGCGATACAGCCCTCAATCTCGCCATATCGGCAGTCATAGCTGCAGCAAGCTGCTGCAGCTGTTCAACTTTTTCCTCAGCACCAACATCATCTAGAGACTAAGTTGATACCGTTTCGGACACATAGGGTATGCTCGCCCTATCACTATTTGGAGAGAGTATGACAGCGTCATAGTCCGCCACCCCATGTGCCAAAGCTAGGAAAGCCGGCAAGTCAACGTCTGGCACACGCCGAAGTGCGAGACCCCCATATGTTATTGGCTGAGACGCCCGGAACCACAGGCGCTCATGAAGGGAGACTTTGAGGATTGACTCAGCAGTAACTCTTAAAGCACCGTCGTACAAAAAGACAGCCTCCGGACAAAGCCAGGTTCTTTAACTATTTACTTGTTGATTTTTTGTGCCTATGGAGTATATGACGTGTCATATTTACTAAATAAATTGAAAATGATTACGTCATGAAATAGCAGTCTCAAATAATTGCTAATTTGAATATGGTGCTTAGTTTATTATTATTACAGTTTCAGAAATACTAATATGTGTAATTTATTAATGTTATTGAACTTTGAAGTGATGGGATTTCCACTTATTGTACCTTTAACATCTATAACTATTAATCATCTCCTTTAAAAAAAAAACTTAATCTTAGATAACCGGTTTTTAAAGATGTCCTCTTCAAAATAAGGTAATTTTAATATTACTTATGGACAGATTAATATTTTTATTATACAACATTTAAGAAATCATGCCTAAATGGTGAGTGGCGTTAAAAGCAAACAAAAGTTCCAATATGATGATGAAGCCAGGAGGTACTAATGATTTCAACATCACAGCATGTTGGACCAAGTTGGACCAAGCCCAATGTTGGACCCATCAAACCAACTCATATGAGCCCAAACTCGAGGGGTAGGTATACTTAGAACCACTGAAGAGTTCCACTAATCGACGTCTTGGCTCCATCAGATCAGCGCCAAGATGCTATATTATTCTCTTGGGAATAAAAGTACATACACTTATTAAGTTTCATTTTGTTACGACAGTTGCAAGTTAATTAAAATTAACTTAAAAGTTTTGGTGGCAAAGTAGTTTTTTGTTTTTTTTTAAAAGATAACTCCCGCATTAGGCATGTATCCTGTTTCGCGGGGGATTTTACAAACATACATGAAACGGACACAAAGAACACCCAGACTCAGAACAACAATTTGTGGATCACACAAAGTGTTGTCCTATGTGGGGTTTGAACCGACATCACTCGGCGTAGTAGGAAGCAGCGTGGCGACCACTTAAACCAGTACGCCATTCGTGCAGTTGTTAGTATTAGTTGTCTGGAATCTAGCGAAATCGTGTCAATAGCAGGAGGGATTAATCCGGGTGAATTTCTAATAGAATGTGAAGTCTTCATCAATAATTGAAAAATTTGAAGTAGCACGCTTACCGACTGTCTGTCTGGACAGAGCGATTACAGTATTTAGATTACTTCATTTGCCTTACGATACGGTCCACCGTATCGTGGAGGCTGATATGAATGGTTTTCCCTAATAGTGATTATCTCTAGTAAAATGTGATGATTAACAAAACAGTTCATATTAGTTAATAGTTGAATTATTCGTTATGTTCTACAGGTACATGACTTTTTGATAAATAATTCGTAAAATTTTACAAAATAACTTAACACAAGTTGATCAGGATTATACATTATATAAGAGAATTACTTACTGAATTTTATATGTACAATATGTGTATTGTATAAAATTTATACTTAAATTTTGATAGAAAGGAATCAATTTTTGACTTGCTATGGATTCCTTTTTTCTTAGTGGGTTATATTCACCACACGGGGGGTCGTCTACCTGTTGTTGTAGATGGCCCAAGGTATGTCGGGGCACCAGAGACTTCCTTTCTAGGGTATGCCTGGTTCCCCTGCTATTAGTACCCGAGAAGGCGTGCGGTTTTATTCGGTTCGGTGCGGTGCGGTTTGGTTCGGATTTATTCGGTTCACATGCCACCGATAGGTGGTATCCGAGGGGATTGCCGCATGGAAAAAAAAAAGTGGGTTATATTCAAAGATGCCAATCATCATCATCATCACTAGGCCAATACTTTCACTGAAAAAAGACTGTAACCCTGTAACTGTGACCCATAATAATGGAGTCACCTTTGCATTCAATTAGTTTGAGTTGTATGTCTAATACGATCCTAGTATTTTATATCATAAATACACGAATTGTAGAGTTGCTAAACTTTTGTAACAGGCACCTTGCAAAATGAAAGGAAAACCTGTGACGGTAGTTCTCATAGATATAACCTAGAGAGAACAACAGCCCCAATCTCGCAATGTAGGCAACGAGAGAGATGGATAATAGATAGTCCCCTCTGTCTATTTCTAGCCGAGGTCTGTGGTTAGCTGGAGAATATGAGGGGTTAATAAGTAGCGATTCACAGCTTAGCTAATCAGAGACAGAGGGAAATTTCGGGTATCCATCTCTTTCGTTGCCTGTATCGCTTTCACTTACAGGCGCTGTAACCCCGTGTTCTTTCTATGGTAGTATGTAGGATAAGAAATATACCACCCAGATTTGGCAAAAAGTACGGATGCACTTGTCGCTAAGCTTTCCCGCTAGTGACTCCTGAGTTGCTGGCGTTCATGGGCGGTGGTAGTCACTTTCCATCAGGTGAACCAGTGAAGTGTAGTGACAGATTAAGAATACCGAATGTCACTACCCCAATTCATCCCGTGGGTGTCGTAACAGCCGACTAAGGGCGCAAAACAACGCAGGATACCAGCACTGTAAAAAGAAGGAAAACTTGACGCAAACCCTATACAAACCCGACTGCCCAGCGTGGTGTAGTGGGCCTAAACCTCCTTTCTGGGGAGAGGCCTATATCCAGCAGTGGACTATTAAAGGCTGTTGTTGATGATGATGATGATGAACCAGTGAATATGTTGTTGTTACCTATTACGACATCGATCGGTAGCAACGTCAGGTAATTGTAAATCTGCAGGAAGTTCTTTCGAATCCTATACACTAATTCTCTACTTTTAGAACGTAAACGTGAGTTCACTGGGAGTTATTCATCTATGAACCAAGAAAATAATAGTCACATGGTGAGATCGAATTTCCAATAGCTGCGTCAGAAAAGTGAACCGATTATTTAAGACATTTAACTATTGACAAATGGTCAAAAGTTGACCATTTGACCGTTGACCAAAATGATATATCGTTTTTATCATAATTTTCACACTCTTTTCGCAATTTTAGTTGGGGTTGTCGCTCGTGCCTGTGTCACTGTCGCAAAGTTTTTGCTGGTTTCTTTGGTCGGCCGCCTTAATGATGTGGATGGGTTTTGCTGATTGGTTTTGTAATTCCTTCCATTTTTATTATTTTATATTTATGATACTCATTTGAGCGGAAATAAGCGTAGACGAAGTAACTTCCCTACCAGACTAGTATTGTCGGACGTACATAGCTGAGGATACGTAAACACAAATATGTCGATCGGAATCAACATCCATATAGTAAACGGACGATTAGACGACAGCGGACATTTAAATAGGTAAACAGTTCAGACTTAGTATCATTTTATATTCGACTTCATATAAGCGTGGTCATTAATTTAGTTTAAAGAGAATAAAGTTTTTTATTTCGCAAATTAATAAGTCAGGCAATTTAAAGATACTTAAAACCTATCGTGATTGTAAATCGTTAATTCTTGTAAACATAATTATGTAAGTTAATTAGCATTGTAAACATAAGGTAAATAGTTATGTAACAGGGTAAATTAAAGTAAGCACTATCTTCTACTGTAGTATGTAGCCATGATTTTCCATTTCACGCTCCGTCTCTCTCTATCTTTCTCTCTCTTTCTTTCTACTGCCCTTTTCCCATTAGCTTGCCTTCAGCTTAAGAACATGATAGAGGGTTCAATATTAAATATAACGTAGCAACTCCATGTTATGTAATCATGTGTAAAAATTTATTACTTATTAATATTTTGCAGAATTACTGACTGAATTACTTACAGAAAGAGTTGAAGAAAACAAAATGTCGATAAAATTAGCAGTTATTCTTATTTTCATCGGCCGTAAGTAGTATAAAATCGTAAAAACCCAATTACCATTCCGCTTTAGCCACTATGTCATCCAGTAAATATTTTTTTGTTGTAAACAATTCTTATTCTTTTGCCGCCCCTAAATTGCAATGTCCATTCCTGGATTCATAAATGATGTATTTTTTTATTTAAAAAAGTATTAGCACCATGAGTTATCATCATTCCTTTAAATTTATCCAACTAGCCTAAATACTTGTGTCTGTATTAGGGTTAAGTCGGTACTGGGTCAGACTGGGTGGGGTTCAAAACCGCATCCTCTTTGCCGTAAATACGAAGCCACCACCGTTTATTATTGGTAGTAGCATTAATTACAGAAAATATACATTTACACCTAGTTATCTGTGGCTAACATAAGTTTTTTTCCTGCTCATATAATCTACATCAAAATCATATCATTGCTATACGTACTGTTGACGGGCCTGTTAGTTTAGTGTTTAGTGATCTTGGCTGCTTAATTAGAAGTTGTGGTTTCGATTCCCACCCAGAATTTAGAAATATTTATACTTATAAGCTAATTTCTAAATACTAGGCCAAAATCTCTTTTCTAAAGAGAGGCCTATGTCCAACAGTGGACTATTACAGGCTGTTGATCATGATACTTATGTTTATATAAGGATACGATCAAACTAGGGGCTACTAGAAAAAGCTAATGTCTGTATTTATTTATCTTTATTTTATATTTTTTGTTGACTGTGTTATATGCTTCTAGATGTGAAAGTAAAAAGTCAGTTCCATGAGTGCCACAATGACCCCGATGAGAGCCCTGAAAATGGAATACTTTATGACCCGAAGTTCTCATGGTTGGGAGCACTGCAATATATACACGGTACGATTGAAAATCTATTTCTTTGTACACCGATTGTGAAAACTTAAACGTAAAGAGAATTATTTGTTCGAATTTTAAGAACATTACGCGTACCGAGAAATGCTAAATTTAAATTTTTAAAACAATAATAGTAGAAGTAGGTACAAAAATCCAAATTAATTGGACATGACTGCATCAAGCTACAAGTATCCAATATGTATTTTGAACCGTAAGGCAGACATGTTAGAAGCTCTGTATTTTTTTTTAACTAAACGGAGGATTTTAAGTACTTATTTGTCGCAATGGTGTTCTAATGAGGGGTTTGGAAACATTATACATGTCCTTGTGGCACATAGATGGCCTGCTTAACCGGTTTAAGGTCAAACCAACAACTGTTTTTAACTAGAATTTTGATCTAAAGTATTTTATATTTTAGAGAACTCTGTTCAGGCTCAGATGAAACTTTAATGTATATGTACTTAACGAGTGAGTGAGTGAGTGTGTTGTCATTTTAGCACGTGTTTGTTTACTGAGTAATGACATTTGTCATTAGTAAATAATAAATGTCATCTTTGTCAAATGTCATTACAAACTTTTGTTTAATATTTCATTAATAAAGAAGGTTCTAAATTTAAAATTGCTACTGAAATTAATTGTAGACGGTTTATGCTTTTTTTTGTTGGGTTGGGTGTTATTGTCTCTAGACACTTTATATCCACTATATATTTTAATTCAGTTATCTGTTTTTTTAAACACAAAGAATTTCGTTTTTGCATAATATTTAATAAAGTTGACCCGACTTCAAAGGCGCCTAAATAAGAGTGAAAAAAATAGGAGTTTCCTCAATTTCTCTGAGGTCTAATTAGATCAATGATAGAATAAAAGAAGAAAGAATAAAAAGAAACAGAATGAATGATAGTGGGATTTACTAGGAGATAATTATACTCTTTCAAAAAAAAAACAGTTCATACATAAAAAATAAATTGCGTCCGACGAACTGAAAACCTCCTTCTCTTTTTGTAGTCAGCCAAAATTTTATATATTTAGGTAATATCTAACGTGTTTTAATTATCTGTTGCTACAAATTATAACATTAACTTAAATATTAATAATATAACAAATTTTAGTCAAAACCGGTGCCCCGCACTACTTCCGAGTACCACGAGTGGTCCTCATCAGTCGTCAATTCGTTCTTTCCACTGCAGCAGACGCAGCTGAAATACCTTATGGATATGCTCTGTAAGTACCTCTACTTAGCTGTTAGACGTTAGCTGTTAGACGTTAGCTGTTAGATATAGCTTTTTTTTGGTGTACCACACTGCGTCTAAAATAGAAGGTTTTATTAAGATGTCAGGACCCCTCCTAGTGCCTGCATCTTCAGGTAAAACCTCTCACACAAGAACGTCGCTCCATCACAGTAGGCTGATATGGCAGGTAGAGGGGAAAACCTGTGCCCGTGCACACTCGGACCCAATTCGCCTTAATACCACATTTCGTCCAGCTGCGACATAAAGGCGGAGAGTATGTTAATTGTCGTCATACGGCGTCAACTCACAATGCCTCATGACTCCAAGTCCTTAAAATAATTTCAGTGGTAACGTAGCCTTCGCTGACTACTACCGAGATGAGATTGAGTGCGGCCTGACTGTTCGTATGGTTGCAGAAGGTAAGGAGTGCGACCCTGCCATTCTGCTGATACCAATAGCAGATGTATTACTTCACCCTGAGTATAAGCACTTTGATGCGAAAAACAGTTTAGCGCTCCTCAAGTTGGTTAAGCCAGTAAAATCATGTAAGTAAAATATACGTATCTAATCTTCGTATTAATAAGTGCGTGGAACTTGTTTGTTCATGAAGTTTTGTATTTTATTTGTTTTTCTATTCGAGTTTAAAAAAATTCAAAACGTTTTTAATGATATGAAAAAGCTACATAAGCTACGGGGGTTCATAAACTTTAGACTATAAGGGGCCACGTGAATACGTATGTAGATCTCTATGCCCCAACCTAACCTGACCAATTAGGTTCCAAGCTTTCGTACGATGTGAATTTCTTAGAATCTGATAGGTCAGGGGACGGGGCTTGGTCAATATTTTCACTCACTATTTTCTTAACGCGAATGAACTATAGTAAAAGTTGAAGACTTTTTTTGTTTGATTGATTCTTTAAGGCACTAGTATAGTAGTATAGAGCATTCATTGAGAAAGTTTATCGGAGAAGTGACGATTACTGTTTTAATAATATTTTCAGTGTACATGTTACCAGTTTGTTTGCCGTTTAAAAATTACTTGATTGATGACCAAGGGAAACCAACTATGAAAAAGATGATACATGTTGATTATATTGTTGGTAAATATATTTTTTTAAATTATTAGAAAATCTTCGAAAGACTCTTCAACTAACAAAGGTTAGTGGTCAGCTTCATATTAGTCTTGTTCTTCGAGATGCGAAATAGAGTTATAATGTAAGAAACGAAAAAAAAAACAACCGAATTGATAACCCCCATTTTTAAAAGTCGGTTTGAAAACTACCTTATGCTTGTTCAGACAATGAGATGGATGAGGATAGATTCTCCTATCATATTGGCAAGCTGTGCCTGTAAAAAAATTATGGTTATTCTAGGAGTAAGAGTTTCGGAGTTAGGCCGCTGTCAAACGGACGAATAAAGATGGCGTTACCATAAAATTTCTTTATGGTCTACAGAACCCTAAGAAGGTCATCATCATCGACAGCCTTTAATAGTCCACTGCTGGACATAGGCCTCTTCTTAGAAAAGAGGTTCTGGCCTACTACACCACGCTGGCTAGACGGGTTAGTATTGGGTTTGTTTTAAGTTTTCCTTCTCTTTGCAGCGTTGATATCCTAAAGAGTTTGCTCCTTTAGTCGGTTCCGTACTCTTCTGAATTCCTAAAAAAGATAATATATTTTAAATGTATATTTTTATCCGTTAAATTCTTTCGTAACGTAATATATGTTGTCACTTTCAGATGTACCAAGAGACTTTTCTGAAGAAGAGAAAGAGGTAAAGAGAATAGTTCTTCTACCTAAAGAACTGTGCTTTATGTTTGATCCATCAGCACCTGAGGTAAGTTACTGTTGAGTTTAATTATTTTTACAGTAGGTACTGTATTATATGTGTATTTTTACATAGAGCATGTTTTCTTAGGATGTATTTAATGTCTCTAAAAATAAATGTTTTAACGACTTTTCTGTATGGCACAGTTGTGATCTGATCCAAAAGATTCCAGTCTATTCAATTGTTGCCAGGAAAAGATTACTCTAAGCGATAGAATCACCCTTTGTACGTTATTTTAAGTTTTATAATCTCTGGAAATATCTTTTTTTTATTTATCTATTTATCTAAATGCATTATTTGCGACGAAGATGGTAAGTTTTAAATCAATAAAAACTCAGTTCACAGTTCGATTCATGTGTACCTTGTGTGTGTAATATTTCAGGTTTCATTATTTATATTTTTAACGAAAAATATTTTATCGACTCGCTTTTGCAACATATTTTAATAGCAATGATGAGTTTCTTTTAGAATTCAACGAGAATCACACGCAATAGGATGATGTGTACTACAGGTTGTGGCTTTCACTCCGGAGCGCCGACCCTCATTCATGAACATACAGGACATTGGTCTATAGTGTCAATGGCCATAGGTATGTAGTTCATCTATACAAATAAATAAAATTGGAGTGTCTGTTTGTAATATTAAAATAACCGCTTTTTACTAAATGCATATGTATGTTTACACGGTACATATGCCAAAATAACATTTTTTACAATTTTTGTCTGTCTGTCTGTTTATTCCGGGTAATCTCTGGAACGGCTGGACCGATTTCGACGGGACTTTCACTGGCAGATAGCTGATGACATAAGGAGTGACTTAGGCTACTTTTTTTAGACTAGCGGCGTTGCCCGCGGTTATATCAACAAACGCGGGTAACACCGCGGGTCTTAGCTAGTATAACATATGTATTTTGACTGGCCTTTTGAGCAGGTGGTTAGTGACCCGGACTGCCAAGAAGCCAAAGAACGTGGGTTTGATTTCCACGAAGGACAAATAATTGTGTGATGAGCATGATCATTTGTCCTTTGTCTGTATGTTATTTATCTAAATATGTAATGTAAATATGTATTTAGAAATATAGAAGTATGTTTATCAGCAGTCTGGTTACCATAGCACAGACTCTGCCTAATTTAGGACTAGACGACCGTGTATGAGATATGTCAAGTAATTATTATTATTTTTACAAAACATTTGGCTGTGCAGAGTGGATGAGAAAAAGTCTGAGGCCCAAGTGCGAATATGTATGACATCTACTCGATCGTGACGGTGACCGGCGCGCGCTGCGATTGGCCCGCACTGAAATCTTAATTAATCACAACGCCGAACGCGCGCTTGTCGAGAGTGAGATGATGTGAAATAAACTCGCACTTGGCCCTCTGAAAGCAGACCCTAGGCGTCGTCGGACGCAACCGGGCTTAGCTGAGCTCGGATGATGATAAGTACCTCCAAAAAGAGTGTTCAACATTTGATAGTTTTAATTCTTACTACTACAGTTTTTTTATAGGAAGAAGCACATGCTCGTAATTGGAAATGAAGCAAGAAGCAGTATTTTAATAATATTTTTTCCAAATCTAGGAGGCAATCTGTGTCCAGATCCTCTCCGTGCTCGTCGTCCTCCCGCGCCACCGCTGCACATTATAATCTATCCATATGTATCATGGATCACTGCCGCCATCTCTGGTAAACCTATGGGTGCCTTCGCCAAGGATGATCCTTTCGGTAACACTGTATTTTCTTTTGTTATACTAAATAATACTTTTGAAAAGCGGCTTAGTGTTGTAAGTTAAAAAAAAGATTGAGATAGTCTAACAAACTGGCAATGGCTTGCCCTGGCATTTTCCAGTTTTAAACTAACCTCAGGTACTTTAAATGAGTGTCATAAAGGAACTTATACCGTTCCTTGAGGTAAAGTCGGATGTTACAAAATATGCTACTTTTAATTTTATGCAGTTTGTAATACCGTGTGTTTAAAAAGTTTCAAAATTTAGATTTATAAAATTATATGTTGTAGAGGTATTGATAAAAAAAATACATTTCTTTACAATATCATGTAAAGGAATCACAAACAAGTTGATTCACAGATTTTCTTTTTTTTTAAATCTTAATTTGATTCGGGGTTTTGATACAGTAAGGATATGCCAACCCCATTGTACCTTGATACATGGTAAAGACAAAGAATTAATGTTAAAACAGTCTGGTATATGATATCATTGGTGAGCTATTGTCATCAGGCGACTCAATTTCTTAGCTGCTTCTGACCTTGGACAACTCATTATGCTTTTTATTAAACCCACATCAAATGAATTTATATTCAGTTCTTTGGGTAAAGCCTCTTTGAGCAGCAAATGTTGCACATCTTCTATTTTATTACAAACAGGAAAGTTAGGCAAGTCAGTTTTTTTCAATAAATATTTAAATTTTGCTGATGGAAAGTGACCAGGTCTAATTCTAAGAACTAGATTCACATAGTGACTGCTTAAGCGAGCGTCATCAAACCATGCGACCTGCTTAATGAGGACGCATTGCCTGAATGGTTTTATACCAGATACCTTTTTTTTCAGATCAGATTCACAGAAATGGATCCTATTTACCAAAATAATTATTTATCTCTTTCTGCTGAAAATATTAGAAAGTATTGCTTTGCTTTATCACTGGTAGTCGATTTATGGTCACTTGAACTTGTCCGTCCAACTTAATATCAGTGAGATATCAGTGTACACAAACTAGAAAACATATACAAACATTATTTGCCACGTGTGGTGACGGATTAAGAATACATAGTGTCACCAGCCCTAGTCATCCCGTGGGTGTCGTAAGAGCCGACTAAAGGAGCAAACTACGCAGGATAACAGCACTGCAAACAGAAGGAAAACTTGAAACAAACCCTATACCAACCCGTCTTGCCAGCGTGGTATAGTATGCCAAAACCTCCTTTCTATGAAGCGGCCTATGTCCAGCAGTGTACTAGTAAAGGCTGTTGATGATGATGATGATTTGCCACAGGTTTCGTCATGCCTCGAGCTGGTCATGAGCATCCAGGTTTTGGACATCACTGGTTGGGTCATTGGTATATGGGTGGGATTAGATGCTTCGATAGAGGACATGCAGCTGACGATATGTTCAAGTTCTACCACGAGATATTCAACATTAACGTGGACACTAAGGGACTAAACTTTATTACTTACGGGTTAGAGGTACGTAAATAGTTATCTACATAAAATTAATACCTATTACTATTAAGCGTAGTGGAAGTGTATATGAGTAAGGATAGTAGTAAAATGTGTGTAAATTTAAGTATGGGTTAAAAGTAGTGATGCCAGCTACCGGTATCCGTGGATAACTGAAGATGAAAAAATCCGGGCAAGTGCAACTCGAACTCACCCACCGAGGGTTCCGTACACATTTGTAGGTACATATTATAAATAGTTTAGGAATCGAGTCTCGTACTTTTTCAAGCTTTGCCCGAAATTTAGTTTCCAAACCCTTATAATATTACTTATATTATTGTGCTATATAAGTGAAATTGATGATTCACTATGTACTTTAAATAAATACCATAATTTTTATGATTTAATTACAAATGTATAGTTTTCAGATATTTCTCTGAACTTGTAGTTTATGACGATGTTAGTTGCCAAATTTCATAGTTCTAGGTGAATGGGAAGGGTATACCTGGTTCACCGGCTATTAGTACCCGAGACGGCGTGCGGTTTTAGTCGGTTCGAGTCCGACATGCCACCGATAGGTGGTATACGAGGGGATTTCCGCACGGTAAAAAAAAGTTTGAATGGGAAGTATCCTATTAATGATGATTCCATTGAGTGTGGATATATGCGTTTTTGCGGTACAAACAGCCGTATCTTTTTTTACGTTAACTTAGAAGTTTGATTTTTTTTCCCAGCTTCAAGGCACTGTAGATCTGTATATGGTTTTAATTTTAACTCGATACACTGACGCGTTCCCAATATGAAGGGTCCTGATATACAGACAGACGAACAACAAAGTGAATCAATAAGGGTTTCATTTTTTTCTTTTGAGGTACGGAACCCTAAAGAGATCTGTATCTGATCCTTAACATAGAAATTATGAATTTATTTTACTACACACATCAAGATAAACATAAAAATTTGCATATTATTGTGTTATTATTTCAGTTATTTAAATTTTGTTTTTGTTGCACAGATATTCAGTGAACCACTCACTATTATTGTCTGCGTGAAGGTTGGTATGCCGTATCGGTTAACGACTCCAATAGTACACGAACTTATGAAAGCTGCAACAAAGGTACGATAAATTGACAACTACTTCCGAAATGCCGACTCCTTCTAGCTGAAAAGTCCGATTTGTAAAAATTTGTGAAAAGATTTACTCACAGAAACAAATATCATTTATCATATATACATATGAATATTCCGTGGTGACGGACTAAGAATACAGAGTGTCACCATCCCTATTAATTCCGTGGGTGTCGTAAGAGTCGACTAAGGGAAAAGACTACTCAGAATAACAGCACTGCAGAGAGAAGGAAAACTTGTCACAAACCCTATACCAAACCGTCTGGCAAGCGTGATATAGTAGGCCAAAACCTCCTTCCTAAGGAGAGTCTTATGTCCAGCAGTGGACTATTAAAGGCTGTTGATGTTATGATGTGATGATGACATATGAATAGTCATTGTATTTCTTTAAGTCAACAGTTGTGCCAAGTCTCCACATAGTATTAGCAGTAGTATTATAGTCTTGTCTTGACATCTTGTTTTAAAAAGAGATAAAAAAATGCCTTTATAATTATGTTACAGGTTTCAATTCCAGTAATAGCGACCAAGCAAAGCATCCGATTCCAGATAGAGGCCTGGGGATTCAACGTGTCATCGCACCAATCAATGTCTCAGCCTTTAGGAGGCTCTTTTGAATATGAATAAATGTTTTGTTTTAACATCGCGATCGACTCTCGGTCTTATTTTTGTGCGATTTGATTCGAATATCGACTTAATGTTTCAAGTAGCGTTGGGTGTAAGCTGAATTTCAATTTAAAAAAAACAGAAACTCTATTCAGACCAATATAAAGTGCAACCACTATATATTGGTCTGAATAGAGTTTCTAAAACATATTTTACCGTAACTTCATTCACTCATGATGAAAAGCAGTAAAAGAATTCTGTGAGTTTATTAGGCCGTGGTATTACTCCGGTCGAGCTGGCACCAGAAGGCCAATTCTTTTCTTTCATCAGATCGAACTTTTATTACGAGAATTGGCCTTCTATGCTGAATCATGGCTCTTCCACTGTGATGTGCAGTAAAAATTAAAACAAATATTTTCATTTTATTTTTATTGATATAATTTTGTACAAATAACGGCGTATAATACATCGGACAGGTCTCACATACAAAACTAATACTAATCAAGCTATTTCACAAATAGAGCTACGTATGTATTGTAATAACCCTCAATGCAATGTATATTTATTTGAAATACCTTCATTTACAAACATTTTTATCAAAAGCTGTCGGTGATTCGCTAAATTTATTTTAAATGGCGCCAAGCATACCGAATTAGAAAATATCATGATAATTTCCCATTACTATTTCTGTATTATAAACATACTTGTATTATGAAATATTATTTTACTTATTTCAGTTCAGATTGTTAACTTTTGATCGGTTCCTTTGATAAAAGTAGGTATAAACTGCGAAAGTTCATTTAAAGCGGTTAACATTTAGTTCGATCATTGTGATGATACATTTAAATGAAGTTTATGTTTGTGCCGCGCCACACAAATATTTGAAACGATAATAAAGGAGACCGTAATAAAGATATGTAGACATATTTGTATAAATAATTTTCACACCCTGTGAAATACTATAATTGACAAAAATTATTGGTGTAAATCAAATCCCAGTTAAGGGTATTTAGGGTGCGTGTTGACACTTTTCATTTGTTTAATGGCGACATTTTTTTTAGATTTATAACTTTAAACATTAAAAATAAGTATTCAGATTCAATAATTATTATATTTTTCTATTACGCATTCTGTAAAAACAATCTCAACGGTAAATTTCTTCGTATAAAATCCGTATCCATTCAGTGACCTAATTTAATATCGCAATTTGTGAGAATTGAGTAAGAATGAATAAAATATATATGTTCAAGGTTTTATAGTAGGCTTTGTTCGTAACAAATTGTTAAGGTTGCGATATATGTATTTGTACATTTTTGTAAATGAAAATGAACTGAAACTTTTTAATGCCATTAAACAAACGCTAAGGATGCCAACACATTAGTTTATACATACAAAGCGCGTTAATTCTACCGATAAATATATCTATCGCTATATTACATCTAGTCGGTGCTATGTCAGACTGCAAAGCAATCAGGTAACTAGGCTGCTATCATTTATAATAATTGGGTACCAAATAATGAGAATGGGTCCACTTTAAATGGTGGTGCTTATTGATAAAATAATTGTTGATTTGTTTTTTTTTATTAAATTCATTCGTTATTCAGAAATATTCGGTACGGCATTAGTTTCATTTATTAAACTAAACCAAGTCTTTTTGTATGAGTTTAATAATCCAGTCTGTACTCATGAAACAAATGAACTTGAATTTTATGATTAAACGCTTTCATTTTAATGGAACTGACTTTCTTTTTAAAAAGTAATTTGAAAAGTTTTTATTTAATGCAAAGTCGAGGCAACGAGAGCTGAATTATTGAAAGTTATAACGTTCATTTTCTTAATACAAACTTTTTGGTAGCATTTGTCAAATATTTTATTCCTATCAGATTGATACTGGGAGTCGCTCAAACATTTTAAATGGTGCATCAATGCTGATGTTTAAAATAATAAGTATCATTATGCTTAGGAGAATCGCAATTTTGAAGAAAAATGTGTTATTATGATAAAAATGTTGCTACGGAAAATACAGTTTCAGTCATCCCTCAATGAGGTAATGAATCTTATTTAGACCAAATTGTGGGATTCTGGGCATCCTCTCTGTGTGCTGAAGAAACGTGTCCTAACAGATCTTGAAACAGGCACACAAAAAACCTCTGGCAACACCATTAACTGTCTCCTCATATTTCCTTGAAAAGAAAAACCTTAAAAAAAAAGAATCATAATTCCCTTACTCAAAACAGATAGCTCAATAAATGTTAATAATATAATCAAACTATTGTATTTCTACTTACAAATCTTCTAAAACCACGTCCATATGATATATTATTTCCCGATATACAAACGCTATGTATGTATACTTATTGAACTATTATATAAAATACACTCAACTCGTAACAAATTGTGTTTAGCTATGAAACGAAAGGTTTTACAAAAACGAATACTGCGTGCAAACCACTCGTACGACTATAATTTATTTAATTTAACATTACAAATAGTTTTTTTTTTATATATCTACTAGATAGTAAAGCACTTTGAAAAGTTATTCCATCGTACATGGAAACAAAATCATTGAAATATACATAAAATAAATAAAGTGACAAGAGTTAAGAAACCCGCGGTGTATATAATCTAAAAAATTGACTAGAGTATTAACATAGATTTGTGGAGGGTAAAAGCCAAGGAGGAATAATAATGGAGTTTCAACTAAAACAGTATGTAAATATTTTATATTGTAATTTTATGTAATACGTAGGGGAATGGCTGGGCCTATAGTAAAACACGAGCATCTCATTTCCAATATCGCGCAAGAAACCGATCTGTTCGGATTTTGTGATTCGGTGTTGCCACCACAAGCTGGATCTAGTTTAATTATATTTTAATTTAATGGAAGTGTTCCCACCAGCTTCCTCAATACCGTTTCTTTATTCACCACTAAAAGTACGATGTAGACACACTTAGAGATTTTCCTGAGATGTAGTAAAAAACCCGAAGACCTGGATTTTTTTTAAATAACAATGACTTTAAAGTGATATATTATGCAAACATATACATTAAGTTCTAGTTGTTTTTAAATAATTTATTTTAATAAATCGCAACGGTGACTCATTTTGTATAAATTTTTGTTATTAATGGTGACCATTTAATAACCCCTTCTGAACATAATACCTTAATACAAAGAGTTAGTTTCAAATTAAGAACTTTAAACACCAAAGACATACACTATTTAAAAAAAACATGTTTCCTCCTTGTTTCTACTCTCCATAGATAAAAAAAACAATAGATAACTTTTGCGATAATGGATATATTTGTGTCTTGTATATTCATATTGTTACCATTATTGCCTCCGACATTTATTTTTACATTGATATGTATACGGAGTTTTTTCATCACAAAAAAAGCGACTCCAGACGAAAAAAATCAAGTCACAAATCTAAACGACACACGTAACACTATAGCTCTTAGACATTTCACTCAAGACCAAGTTACATAAACTTTGATCAGTTTAAATGAACGCCCGAGAGCGGGTATAACAAATGTTGATTCACTTAAATGAACAGTGGTTCATTTAAATGAATGGCATGTCTTATGGTGCGCATCTTCCGACATTGTTCGTGATGGTGTGGGGCAGTTTGGAAAGGGATAGAGGGATGTCAAAATCTCCACTGAGGGATATTTGTGAGACGCAGCCGATGAGACCGCTTTTATATCTTCCTTGAGTGTTTAGTTCTATTGATGGGAGGCCACCTGTGAATTAAAAAAAATGTGTGTTTATTTAACGTCAAACCATTGATTAGATTGTCAAATCAATAAAAACTTTAAATTAATAATGAATGGCAGTACTTTAAAACGTTAAATTTAATGAAGCATCATCATCATCATCATCATATCAGCCTATCGCAGTCCACTGCTGGACATATGCCTCTCCCATTGCACGCCACTTAGATCGATTTTGGGCCCTCAATAAAGGAATGGCATGTCTTATGGTGCGCATCGTCCGACGTTGTTCGTGAATAATGAAGCAAAATTTTTATTAAACCTAGGAATCTTCTCTATTGCCATAGACAGGGAATGTAAATCAAATATTTAATAGTAGGTCATGTTCACTAGGTACAGTCCCTTACTAATGCCTAATTAAATTAATTGAAGCTTTATACTTTTTTTGTCTCCATTATCATATAGAAGCGAAAGCGGAAAATGTTCTTACCTATATATAAACCGTTCTCAGTGTTGAGTTGTTTCAATTTCCCGGGCGACACTTTCCCGACGGAGCCCAGTCCGTCCACTTCTAGTACACCTGCTTGTCTATTTCTGAAAACACCCATACAAAAATTTAAATAATGATAATAATAATATTCTACCACATTCACACAACGCCATCTAGTCCCAAACTAAGCAGAGCTTGTACTATGGGTACTAGACAACTGATATAATTACATATGTATATATCTTTTTTTTTGTAAATACATACATATGATACACTGAAACACCCAAACCAAATCAAACATTAAATGTTCATGCACACAAATGTGTGACTTGAGCGGGTATCGAACCCGCGTCCTTTGGAATAGCAGTCCGTTACACAAACCACTTAGCCATCCGGTCGTCTGATAAATAGATAAACAACGGTTAAAGATATAAAAACTATTTTTTTTAATGAAAATCGCTGCGAAATTGGTTCTCAGTTGAAAAGGATCAACGGATCACACGGTCATGTGGGCTAATTGCAGGAACTTTGGTACATCCTTAGAAGAAAGAACCTCAGAATGTAATTTAAACCTAATACATACATACAATCATGGATTTATCAATTTAAGTATACATTCTTACACATTCTCTACTACGATACGGCTGAACCTCGATTTCAAGTACACACAAGACCAGTACTAGTAAGTACCAGGTGATACCGAAGGTCCGTAGAAAGATTGATGTCGGACATTTTTGGGCTCCAAATACCCGTAACGATTGCCACAGATGTCCGTATGGCAACCAGGACCAACAGCTTAGCGTGCTCTCCAAGGTGCGGAGGGGTCTCAATGTGTTAAGAAATCGTCACCCATCCCATAGGCTGACCTGGCTAGGATTCCTTAACTTTGCAATGTGTTAAGCTACTCGGTTACCACTTAGCCACGAGCCCCTCCAATGATCGTCCTTATCACATAATAGTTGTCCTGGGTAGGCATCAAACCCTTGAGCTCAGGATTTGCAGTTAGGATGGCTAACCATTAGACTAACATAATCTGGTTCTTGTTTTTCAATATTCTCCTGATGGTTATTGTGGAAAGTGCCTAATTTCGACTGATTCATTGATTTTAATTCTTCAAAGAACAATATAGGTAATAATAATAATATTTCGGATAATATTTCAGACATCTAACACACAACTCCATGTAGTTTCAAACTAAGCAGAGCTATGAAAGCGAAAATGACTGATAGAATACCTTTATACTTTTTTTTAAAATACCTACATTTTATACACTGAAACACTCAAACTCCGACACAAATATTTGCAGATCATACATGCCTTCGGTCCGACCAAACGGAATCAAACCTGAGACCTCAGAACGGCAGTCGCATACGCTACCACTGCACCACCGAGGCAGTCGAGTAGGTATAACATCAATTATGGCCTGTTGGTCTAATGGTTAGTGACCCTTACTGCTAAGCCATCGTGGGTTCGATTCCCACCCAGTACAAATAATTGTGTGATGAGCACGATGATTTGTTTTGTGTCTGGGTGTAATTTATCTATAATATGTATATTTTTAGAAATATATAAATATGTTTTTCAGCAGTCAGGTTACTAAAGTACAGGCTCTGTTTAGTTTGGAATCAGACGGCCGTGTGTGTGATGTGTGAACTTAAAAAAAAAGATAAAAATAATTACAGAGTTATTACGAAATGAAAATATGCATAAAAATTACTAATGAAGAATTCAGTAAAATTAATTATTCAAACTAATAAATCGCTCTCCATTAATCCGCAATCAGGTTTATTATCCAAGACATACATGTAATTATTTTTTTTAATGCTCACCTGGTTGCTCGTGCTCTGTGCCAAAGGCCATCGTCTACCTTGGTGTGATTGGCAATGATGACGACTTCACCACTGCCCAGGTCGTACCTGAACACGAAACGATAAACATCTATATGGTCTAATAGTTATATTTTTATATTTAAACAGATAACGCCCGCATTAGGAATACATCCTGTGTAGCAGGGGACTTTACAAACGTACATGAAACGGTCACAAAGAACAACAAGACTCAGAACAACAATTTGCGGATCACACAAAGTGTCGTCCCATATGGGGATCAAATCCACAACACTTAGCGTAGTAGCAACCACATCGCCATATTTTTTGAAATCATTATTTGCATGTTAATTTTTAAATTGATACCTTCGTTTAGTCTTATATATCCTCTCTTATATATGAATTCAAAGTAATCCACCAATTCTCACAAAAAATACTTCCATTGTTCGAAATGTCATTCTCTTCAAAGTTATGCAAAAATACCAACAACGCTACGTTTAATATTTCATATATCGTATACTTACTAAATTTATTTTTCTATATTTAACTGAATTTTCAAAAAAATAGGACAATAACAACAAATAGGTATAGTATATAAGATTAACATTTACCTGAAAACAAGTACAGAGTTCTCGATGGCCAGCGAGAGAAAGTCTGGAGGGGAATGGGCGCCCCCACTCCATACGAGTAAACCGTGGGCCACCACGGATCTGAACCGGATGTTAATGTCCAGAGAGTATGATACCAACCTGGGAAATGTCAGATATTCTTTGTAAATAACAATGTAAACAAATCGAAGTAACTTTTAACCTACTTATAAAAAAAAACTTTGTATGTATACACAGTTCGAAAAGCAAAAAAGACATTTGGCATTTTGTAGCTGATTTGGAAGCAGGACGCATTACAATGATATTTAAATTCTTGAGTACCTATTAGCAATCTACTACAGTTAAGCACTGGGCCTTAACCATTTGTGCGCCTCAAGAAGAGTTAGAATTTTTAAATTATTTCAAACTATTTTTAGTGCTGCAACATTTAAACTACTACTTATCTCAAAATAATAATATTAACCTTTTTTTTTAATAGATAATTTTATTTATTTATTGAGGCACACAAAACAGAACATAACACAAAGCTTAGTCTTATAGATAGCTAACACAAACAGTTTCGATCTTAGCTATGCTCCTAAATATGTGTACACAACATGGCAATGTAGGTGATACAAGATGAGATTACATGCAACCTAAAGAGCTAAGTATTAACATAAAAATAAAAATAAGTATAAAATTTGAAACGTATTTAAAATGTATAAGATGTTTAACATATCAGACCAACGTTGATGACATAATATGCGTAACATTATTTTTAAATTTACTAAATTTGGTATTAAATATGTCAAGGGTGTCCAAATGTTGGGGTAGTAATTCATTACAGAGACGACACATTCTAACAATGGGATTATAAAAAGAAGTATTATTTAGATGCACATTCAAAGTGAAGCTTCGGTAGTGACGCTGACGAGACCTAAACCTCGTGTTAAAATTTATTTGGGAAAGCAAGTCAGGACAGTCAACAACGGAATGTATGATCTTATGGAGACATAGCAGATCATGACACTTGCGGCGGGATTCAAGGGAGAGCAACTTAAACTTGTCTAATCTGTCTTCATAAGAGCAAACATCCCGGCCAACGTTGTATCTGAAGCACAATATTCTGAGGCACTTCCTTTGGATACATTCTATTCTATTTATATGGACAGCATAGTAAGGAGACCAGACAGGTGAATTGTACTCTAGTACAGTGCGAATGAGTGCATTAAAAAGGAGGAGAACACTACGAGCCTTCCTGAACTCCTTCGTGACTCTCAATATGAATCCCAGAAGGCTCGAAGCTTTGCTAAGTATATTATTATAATGTTCGCGAAAAGTCAATTTTTCATCAAAAGCAACACCGAGATCCTTTATAACCTGCTTTCTTTTAAGATAGTGGCCATTAAGATTGTAATTGAACAGTACTTTCTGAGATTTAGTTGTAAAAGAGATAACACAACATTTGGTCACATTTAAGGTCATATAATTCTCAACGCACCAACTGTCTATGCTCTCTAGGTCTTTTTGAAGGATTTCCGCATCCTGGGTACTCTTAATGATAGAAAAGACCTTAAGATCATCTGCGTAGAGCAGGCAGTGATTGGTTAATTTATCTACAAGGTCATTAATAAATATGACAAAGAACAATGGACCCAAATGCGAACCCTGCGGTACCCCCGAGAATGCCACAAATGGAGAAGAAACCTCGCCCTTAATTGCAACTAGCTGACTCCTTCTGGACAAATAAGACTCGATCCATCGCAATTGAACAATCCCTTCTTAAAATAAATATCCTGTTAAATCCTAAATTAATTCATTAAGTAAATTGACCATGTCAGTAATACTTAATTTGATATTTGTACTAAAACACAAGATAATACACCTACCGTTTCATGGTCTCCTCATCATCAATATGTATAAAGCTGTCAGTTCCAGAGAAACTTGGGTAAGTGTTCATATCGCTCCAGTTCACGTCGTTTTCACTTAAATATTTCACTTGCATGTATGTCTGTCCATCGTATACCGGGCCATCTGTTGCAACCTGAAAGTAAATATTTCAGAAAATAACGAACAAGAAATAACAGAGCAAACGGTATGTATAAATTAAAATAACAATATGAAATCTTTTCGGAAGCCATCCGGCCATTGTACTAATGAGGTTTTATTTTTTGTTTAGTTGAGAGGTATTTGATGCTCAGACTTGACGTCAAGCACTGGAACTCTTCTAATTTTAACCTTTCTCATATTATACTAAAAGATAACTTTCTTAATTTCTTATGTTCCCTATAGCGTTCTCTATCTTTATCTCAGGTTCTAATTTAAGTACTTTTGCCGATTTATGTAGATTGATTGAGTTAAAGGTAAGCTAAGTGTGAACATTCAAATTTAACATTGGTTAACCTGAAGAACAAGGCAGATCCTGATTACAGGGTTGAAAACTTTTTGCTACTTGAAACTGATTGCCGTGTTGCCTGCCTTAAATATATATTCTTCTTTTTTCTATAGATAGCACTAGGCGGGAGTTGTTTATAGAAAAAAGAAAAATATTTTTAAAGACAAATCTTGCAATAGAAATATATCCTGTTTCGCGGGGGACAATACAAACATTTATGAAACGAACACAACGAACAACAATTTATGGATCACCTTAGTGTTGTGGGGATCGAACCCACTACGTAGCTTCAATAGGATGATCTCTGTCTGGTCTAGGATCAAATGGAGGTTGTCTAAATTAAGACGTGGTACTTAGTTTGTATAATCTAGTACCCATAAATATTGATAAATCTGAAACACTTAATAAATCTTTAAATACCTCATTACTCCTCTCCAAATCTTCCATCAGGTACTGATGCTTCTTACTGATTAAGTACTTCTTCTTCTTGTATTTGTCGACATGTGTGTGCGGTATGTGTTTCTTTAGCTTTTTGTGGATTTTCTGCTTGAAGCCCTTCTTAGCCACTATTGAGTGATGCACGTCGGTTTCTGAGATATTTTGAGGGTACACCGGTTTGGGCTCTACAACTTCTTTGCATTGATTCTTACCTCTAGAACATTGAAGAGTTTATAATTATAATATAATGTTTGGTTCTAGTACAAAAAATGTTTCCAGTAGTTTTTATCCTTAAATTGAATTTATACATCAGAGTAATGTGTAACATTATATTTGGTTTTCGGTATTTGCATAATGTAATAGTGAAATGTAATGTTATGTAATAACGTGGTTGAAGTGGTTTAGGGTTTCTGAATTCATCCTGAACTTAGTGACGTGAAACCATTACATTTATAGCAATAATTTTAAATGTTCTTATGCAATCTTCTGTTTCAACCATCATCAACAGCCCCTAACAGTTCAATGCTGGACATAGACCTCTCCGTACAATGGTGGTTTTGGCTTACTATACCACGCTGGCCAGACAGGTTGGTTAATTTAGCTTATATAGGATATGTTTCAAGTTTTCCTTCTTTTTGCACAGTTTGCTCCCTTAGTCGGTTCTTACGATACCGTCACCACACGGTTAATGTTTCATCCATAAGATGTGGATGTTTCATCCATATATGGTATAAATTATGTGAAAAGTTTGAAATCTTCTTCTCAAAAAGAGGGAGATTTTTTTTACAACAAATAATAATAACTAACAATTATCACTTATATTATGATATGTAAACAGAAATTGTCGCAATCTGAAAATTGACACACGACTAAAACGACTAACGGTTATTAAACTATTAATAAACGAGTTTCCATTTGACTATTAAAAAAATAGAGTCTATCAAGTAAAGTTGGATGGTGAAAAACGTACACGGAATCCAAGTCAACGAATTCTGTTCACAAAACTAAAAACAAAATGGTTGAAACTGTATCGCGAGGTTGAAAATAAAGAAGAACTAGTGACGAACAGAACAATGTCAAAATTGTTTGAGTACCTGCTACTGTCTAACTTATTTCCAGTAGTTATCACTTACGTGCAATTATCACGGACATCGTCACAGTTGTCAACGTTAAGCCCGCCGAGAGCCGCGGATACTATAGACAGTTCTTCATCGTTTATTATCAGCTGAAAGAGTAAACATTAAATTTTAGAATGAAGTAATATCCAATACAAACATACAATATGTTTTGATTTAATTTCAACACAAATCAGACAATTTAAACAAAAATTAAATGATTAGTTAAGACGTTTTCGAATTTATCTAGAGTTTTATCTTGGCATTCAAAAATTGCCTAAATTGTGTTAGCTACATAGCGGTCAATTTACCTGAGAAACACATCCATTGAAGGACGTGTCGAGTGCGAGTCTTCTGGGCAGTGGGTGAGGCGCGCCGCCCAGCAGCAGCGGTTGTCGCAGCGCGAGTCGGCGGCGCGTACCGCGCGCTGTGACGGCGCGCGCGCCTCCACCGCGCACGCGCAGCCATGCGCGCCGACCCGACCGCGACACCGACACCCAGTGCCACTGACCAGCCTCAAGAGGGAATGCTGATCTAAAACAAAAATTAAATAATGAAAATAAAAAATAAATATTTTTTTAAATCTAAATCGGTCTATATATGAGGTAACAAAACATATAAATATTCAGGAAACACGATTTTTATATGTTTACAAAAATCGCTCAAGTCCGTGTCGGGGCTTGCACAGTGTACGGTTTCAAAGTCTATTACCGCCACTAAAACCAGTAACATGTTTTTTCCTGAGCATTTTGTATTTTGTACGAAATATTTCAAATAGGTAGGTAGTTTTTTTACTCCAAATAATAAAGTTAACTTAGACATAATATATTTCCAATTAAGACCATTGTAAATACTATTCAGAATGTTTACTATCTGAATTTATTCAAAGTATTTCAACCTGTATGGAGTAAGGGAGCTTCATATTTAATCAAAATGATTACTTTAAAATTTAATGTTTTGCAATAGCATCAATAAAACGAAAAAGTTAACCACTCTGTAGGATCAAGCTCACGCGTGGGTACCCTGAAAATAATCATGTTTTTTACCAATTAGCCGGCATGATTATATCATCCAATATTACAGTTACAGTTTTAGTACTAACAGTGTAAAATCTAAATCGCAGACGGACGGACAGACGGATAGACGGCCATGGTGAAACTTTGGGCCATGAGATAGTGGTTTTGTTTTTTCATCACACAATGTATCATAACCTCTTTGCTCTGCTTATTAGAGGAACAATATACGAGTATTACATAAAACCCTTAATAAAACCAGTTTACCTGACAAGTGCGATCCCCGCACCAAGATCAAATGCAAACTCCACGTAATAGTTCCTAAGATGTAGAGAGAAGAAATCTCCATCACCGTCAGCTCTTTCCGAGTTGTACAACAGCAAGCCATCTCCGCTGGTCGGCTTCAATGTGATCTGAAATAGAAACGAACTGAATATTGCTATATACACAAACTATATGACTGAAAGAGAAAGAGATAGATTAAAAACGTGGACTTTAACTATACAATAACCTCAGACATTTTACACACAGCCGTATAATTCCAAATTAAGCAGAGTCTGTTCTTATGACACACTACTGATAAACATATTTATATATTTCTTAACAGACACATATTATAGATAAATTCCACCCAGACGTAGAACTAATGATTATCCTAATCACACAACGTGTGGTGACGGATTAAGAATACAAATTGTCACCACCCCAATTCATCCTGTGGGTGTCGTAAGAGCCGACTAAGGGAGCAAACTAAGCAGGACAACAGCACTGCAAAGAGAAGGATAACTTGAAACAAACCCTATACCAACCCGTCTGGCCAGCGTGGTATAGTAGGCCAAAACCTCCTTTCTAAGGAGGGGCCTTTTTTTTTTTTTTTTTTTTTTTTTTTTCCGTGCGGAAATCCCCTCGGATACCACCTGTCGGTGGCATGTCGGACTCGAACCGACTAAAACCGCACGCCTTCGCCGGGTACTAATAGCCGGGGAACCAGGTATACCCTAGAAAGGAAGGCCCTGGTGCCCCGACATACCTCGGGTTATCTACAGACGAGTAGACGACCCCCGCCCCGTGTGGGAACCCCATGTTCCCTGTGCTCCCTGGAAGCGAGCGCGCTTCGCAACGCGCTCGCCGCCACCCCGGCCTGCTTCTGCTAGGGTGACAGATGGCCTCACCTGTCACCCCCAGGCCTGCGCTTATGGAGGACGGAGGTCGTTCTTCGACCTCCGGCGCCTGAGTCGCCTGCGCTGCCTGGCCCGTGCCCGGGCCTGGCGGGCCGGGAGAGTTCTAAACCTCTCCCGGTCCCGCTCCGCCGTCTCCTTCGCGAGCATAACTTGCTCGCAGAAGGAGACGGCAGAGTTCCAAGCACTCTCGCTCCGCACGATAGCCGCAATCAGGCTATCGAGCGAGAGAACTCCCACTCCGATGGCCGCCACGAGGTCTCGCCTCTGCTCAACCCACGCCGGGCACTCTGCCAGCGTGTGGAGAGCCGTGTCCACGGTCTGGCCATCGCAGTGGTGGCACTCAGGCGTTGGCTCCTTGCGGATCAGACACAGGTGATCTCCGAAACATCCCTTCCCAGTGATCACCTGCGTCAATCGGTATGAGAGGGTCCCGTGACGCCTCTCGAGCCAATCCTCCATAACGGGTCTTACCGCCGCAATGACGGCGTGCCCAGCGCTCGGTTGCCCGAGTCGTTCCCTCCACTCCCCTATGATGACCTGGCGGAGTTGGGATTTCCGGTCATCGATTTCTCGAATCTCGGGGCATCGACCCAACTCCTGCGCCTCCTTGCGCCACTGATACAGTGCCGCAAGGGCTCTCGCCTCCAGGTCCCACGGTGGAGTTCCGGCCAGGAGACTCGCTGCCTCAAAGGAGATCGTGCGGTACCCCCTTATGATCCTGATGGCCAGCATTCGCTGCGGTCGTCGCAGTATCGCGACGTTGCTGGCCTTCAGGGCCCCCGCCCATACCGGGCACCCGTAAAGGGCCATGGACCGCACAACCCCCGAGTAGAGTCTCCTGCAGGAGTCATCGGGTCCCTTCATGTTGGGCAGCAGCCGCGCCAACGCACGCGCTGCCCCAACCAACTTGGGGACCAGACCTCGGAAATGATATCCGAAGTCCCATCGGCCATCGAGTACGAGCCCCAGATACCTGATCGAGGGCTCGATACCGATGCGAGTGCCTCCTACCGTGAGGCTAGATCCCTCAGGCGGCTTCCTCCGAAGCCCGTGGAAGAACAGGGCCTCGGACTTGTGCAGAGCCACCTCGAGACCCAGCCGCCGGATACGCTCAACGACTTGGGCAACCCCGGCCGTGGCCCTCAGGGTTGCCTCGTGGTGCGTCTTGCCGCGCGCCGTCACGAGTGTGTCGTCCGCGTAGCACACGACGGCGACACCATCCAAGAAGGCACCACGAAGCACCCAGTCGTAGCCGATGTTCCACAAGAGTGGCCCTAACACCGACCCCTGCGGAACACCGCACGACATTTCACGCCTACCGAGACCGGTCCTACTGGGGTAGACGACGGCTCTCTCCGACAAATATGCCCCGACTATGCGGCGGAGGTAGAGAGGCACTTCGTGATACACGAGCGCCTCCCTGATGCAGCTCCAGGGCATAGTGTTGAACGCGTTGGCGATGTCCAAGGACACCGCCAACACCACTTCGCCCCGGGAGACTGCTTCCTCCGCATGATCGCATCCACGGTGGAGCGCCCCTGACGGAAACCGTACTGGTTGTCCGCCAGATCCGGCCCAACCATCACGAGATGCTTGACGAGGCGCCTTGCAATCACTCTTTCAAAGAGCTTGCACACCTCGTCAAGCAACACTATGGGCCGGTAGGCGGACGGTGAGTCCGCCGGGCGCCCCTCCTTTCGGATGAGGACCAGTTTCCCCGTCCTCCACAATTTCGGAAACTGGCCCCGCTCGAGGCATGTCTAAGGAGAGGCCTATGTCCAGCAGTGGACTAGTATAGGCTGTTGATGATGATGAATCACACAATTCATTGTCCGAATCGAATCCACGACCACTCGTTTAACAGTCAGGATCACTACCCAACAGTCCCGTCAAAATTTTAAAAGTAGAAAGTCAATAATAATACACTAAACAATAAAGAATTCTGGTAATTAATAATGGCTATATACATCTAACACGGCCATCTGGTTCCAAACTACGCAAAGCCTGTGCTATGGTAAACAGACTGCTGATAAACATACTTATATATTTCTTAATACATACATATCATAGTTAATTTACACCCAGACACAGAACAAATCATCGTGCTCTTCACATAATTATTTGTCTTGGATGGGAATCGGACCCACGACCTCCACTTTAACTTTCTTGGTATGTGCTAACTTCACCATTTGGGAACCGGTTTCATTAATTTTACTCGTATCTTTAATTGAATTGATTCTATTCAAGATTGCTCTTATTTAAATCTGAAGGAAATATTGTCCCTATAGGGATGAAAAATTAGGTGATAAAGAATTCATCTTGTTAACTTGTAACTTGATTGGCACAATCAATCAAGTCTGTGCTTTGAGCTTTGTAATACAAGGGGTGTCAATATCTTTTATATTTACTAGCTATTGTCCGGGGTTTCCCTCGTATAATTATTTGTTATTGCATGTTTATAAATTTAAAAAAGACGAACTCCGGTTGTATGGAAGTTTCATTCTTTATTTTACCCCCTTAGGGGTGAAATTTACAAAAAGCCTTTCCTAGAGGGTGCTTACGACATAAATAGCATCATCTGCCACTTTTTCAAGTAGCCGCCGTACATTGTAGCCGTCGCGTTGATGAATTAGTCAATCAGTCAGAGTAAGAAATTGTATCAGTTTAGATTTAAAAAATAAAGTATTATAGAGGTCAGAATGCAATTTGGCGGTTCGGAATAGGAAATGCCGGTCATATGGTTTTTTTTTATGGAATAGGGGGTAAACGAGCAGACGGGTCACCTGATAGAAAGCGATCACCGCCCATGAACGCCTGCAGCCCTTGAGGAAGTAGTGGAAGGAGTTGGTAGGTTGGTTGAGTACGAGGTAGTTTTGGTTTCAGCGTAAGAAGATGAGCTATCTTCTGGTAATGGGCAGAGTAGTAACAGCGATGATTATATTTATTGTATTAAGGAATTGTCTGTACATAACTTATTATAATTTAACAATCAAATTCCTATATCATGGGACTTTACCTAAAAAATACAAATTACATCCAGACCTAAAGCAATTAATTACTCTTAAATAATGTAACATAAACATGTAAGAATCGTATCCACTACACTCTTTTGTGGACCAACAACTGTGAGTGCCACTGAACTCATCCGTGCATTAAATCCGATTACGTTTTTCTTTCCAAGTAAATTTCTGAATTGATACTGAATTTAATTAATGAAATTATAAAGTGCAGAAGATAAAAGTTTGTTCTCAGTGGAATCGCGAAATAGGTAGCATTAATTAATGAACAAAGAAACTTCTTGAAATTCATATTCATTGTTGATTATCACAAATGGATGAAAAGGCCAAGTTTCATATCTCGTTGCATTTGTTGCAAGGGTTTCTTTCGATATTCAAAACGTTATTACTGCGAGCAATACAGATTCATCGAATTAAATAAGCGTTCGGAGAAAATGTGAGAAAATGTGGAAAAACTAAACACTAGACAACTTATTTCGTTACCACCGCAATATAGATATCCTATCACGCCTTAACTACACAACCTATCGACAAGTCGACATGACATATTTAATATTTTTTATTTTATTTACCTCTTTTTATTTATTTTATCTACCAGCCAATATTTGGGTGGCATATAAGTCTTGTTAATACACATAAAACATTCTCAACTCGTTTTCTTCAAATAAAAAATAATGCTCTTGATTGATATCAGAATTTATAATTGAAATCGACATTTAACTCAAATTTGCATTTTATAGCAAGTCTAAAGAGTCCAGTAAATAACGATTACTGCGAACTCAGATATCGGACTGCAAATTAAGACGAACGTTCTCTAAGAAGATTTATTTGTTAAGGAAGCTGAACAAACAAGTATATATAATTCAACAGACAGGTGAACCCAGATATTTATGAGGCAAAGTTGGGCTTGGGATTTTTATTTTATATTTTATTTTTATTTATTATTAAGTACGCATAAGGAATACTGGGCACAGAAGCGAGCTTAACCCATAATTGAGTTCTCTTCCAGCAATCCTAAGAGTGTAGAGATGATAGCACAACAAGAGAGAGTCATGTGTACAGAGTAAATTTAACAAAATATGACAACACTGACAACAACTGAATATATACAGAAATAGAAATATAAACGAAATAACCGAATATCATGTAAAAAAACTATAATATTATGGGTTCAATCCCCACATGGGACGATACTTTGTGTGATCCACAAATTGT